ACAAACATAACAGATACAAAAACAATTTTCATAACAATATAGAAAATTATGAAAGCACAATGCTCTATATAATAATAAATGTAATGCGTCTACAATTTTACATTCTTTTTTAAGGATTCTTCGGACAGCTCAAGCCTAACTAGCTTTGAGTCTTCAATTGGAAATCTGTCCATAAACTCTCGTTCACCTTCCCAAGCAACTTCCACTGACATCAGCATTGAACAATGCGACAAGACAGATGCCTCCCAGAATACATCACCAGTTGCAAAGAATACTATTAGTACAGGTAAACTGCCTTTCCCTTCACCAATTATAAATAAACAACTTTTTAAACAACAAATATTTAAGAGGAGATAAAAAAGGTACATATACTATTTTCCAGCTACTTTTCCCTAATACCAAGCGTGACTTTAGTAGAATTCCCTCCATTTTTTGACATTTTCTTCCAGTTGGTGCCTAGGCTCTTTGCATCTGTACCCTGAGAAGGAGTTGTTTTAGCTCTATAGGTATGACTCTTAGCAAAAATTTCTTAGGAAACCTCTCAATAAATTTAAATAGTTTCTTGATAGACAGCCCATAGAAGGTGTATACTGTAGCTATACCTGCTAGTAACCTAGAAGGTAATTTTTTTATGTAGATTTTTTGTAGTTTTTAGTTTATTTCCCTGGCATTTCAAGAACATCATTTATATTTTGTTATTTTAGTTATTGTCTACTACTGGAAACCATGGGTTTAGTAACTATTACTTAAGCACCCACCTTTTGATAGATGATTGCTAACTCTTTTGAACCTATTTTATACCTCTCTATTTGAATTTAATAACTATCAAAAACTACTTGACCTATCAGTGAGAGAAAATGATTACTAAGGAACTATTTAATTAATTAAGAAAATCCTTAGTAGAAACAGAAAGGAAATCTGCTGAAGCTTATTGTGTGTATGTTTCTGATGTTAACACCATGTGACACCTCTTTGTCACTGAGCAGCGAACCCAAGCGGTCCATACGTCGGCTGAGTGCCTCCTACAGCAAGTTACAGTTTACTAGCTTTTTCAACTTTCTACCTAACTGAACAACATAATATATATTTTTGCATACTGTACCTTACATTGACAATTGAAGGTTATAATCATGGACCTATCTATTAATAGGTCCATGTTTTAATATGCCACATTTTTGTGTATTTATTGGGTTTTAATCAAAATTTAATTATTAGTTTTGACACTGTCATCAGTTGAATTGGCTGTGATAAACTGTGGCTAGATAGTCTAGCCATAACAACCACTTGATAGTGTCATGTAAAAGATTTTAAATGGTATTGTGTAGCGATATTTTCTCTATAGTAAGAAGAATCTACCAAAATTGTTCAATAATACCTCGTGGAATAATCCATATTAGAAAAATTATGATGGAGAGTGTTATAGATTATGTGAAAATAAATTTCTTTAGTGTGACAATAGGCCTGTAAAGAATTTTCTGCAGGTAATGGATATAACCTAGTTTCTTGTAGAAGCCTAATATGTTGGAGGGATTCCCCATTTGCTGTTTTAATACAGGAAGTGATCATCTCTTGATGTAGCTGATAAAGCTCCAGATATATACGGTATAGTATGCCCTCATCATCGATTGTATGATCTTAGACAGATAAGTTTGAGTCATATGCTATACAAGTTATCACTTCCCTTTCTGAGTCATCCCTCACTATTAACGGTAGTTAACAAAAAACTTCGAACAGTAGCAACATTGTACACATTATTAATAAGCAACAGTATTTCCACTGATGACAGTGCAATAGTTAGATGTTAGTAAGTGGTAAACAGTTTGGTTAAATTTATTTATTTGTTTTCGTTATTTAGAAATTAATAATTTACATTTAATGTTCTATATTAATTCCTGTATACTTTTTGATTAATACCTTTGTTAACTACTAGTGATAGAAATATGATATTTCATAAACAGATTTCTTGAGTAACAGTTTGGTAATAAGGTGGGGAGGGGGATGGCAGGGGATATTTTAGTAATATGAACATTTATTCTGGATTCTACCTATTTTCTCTTTGATTTAAACACATAATTAATAGTAGTTGGAATTACTTTCCTTCATCAATATATATTTTCATTATTGTATATGTGTATATTACTTGTTTTCAAAAACAATAAGCCTTTGAGAATGATAATTATCACCATATCCTGTCTACTGTAGCTCCATACTCTTCTAATTTCTTTGGTGATTATGCAGTTCTTCAAATCAGAATGGGTTTAAAAAGGAACATTTCACAAGTCTATGAATCTATGAAAATATATTAGCTGATGTTACATCATTGTTGTAAATCAGCTTTTAAGTTACATACAGTTCCAATAGGAAACGTTACTGTCTGTCTTAAAGTGTATATTACCGTTATTCTATTTTATGCTCATTTTTCAAGCAGTTTGTGTGGACTAGAATTAGGCGAACATCTTAAATAACTACACTTATAATTATTATTTGAAAAGCTATTCCGGCATTGTTTGTGAAAAGATAATGTGAGGCTATATTTTCTTATATTCTGGCCTGTTATTGTCATCACTTATACAGTAGACCCCTCCTTTAGGACATCCCTATTAAAGGTGGAATTTCCTAAGGGTGATATTTCTATTAAGGGGACACTTTCAGCCACAAAATGAAGAAAAGTATATCTTTTAACACTACAGCCTATTGAGGGGACGCCCCTATTAAGGCCTATTTATGCTTCAACGATAACGATAAAAAAGCTAAAAAGCGATTGTTCATGTATCATTCACATCTTCACTAAACTGTGAAATACTTATTCTTTCAGCTGTAGTTATACGAAGGCCAAAGGGACGCGACTTTCGGCGCCCGAAATCAATGCCAAATTTTGATTCCTATCGTGTCGACAGTGCCTCAAACTCTTCACGTGAAAGCAGTAGGAACATGGAAGAAGAAAAGCCACCATTGAAGGCTCGACCGCCGAAGCCAAGAAGGGCGCCAAGGCGTTCAAAATCCGATCTTGGAGGAAAGAATACAATTAAAGCAGCTTTGAAAGCTGCCGAAAGAGCTGCAATGAAAGAGGCTGCTGAACAAGATGTTATAGAGAAAGGTTGGATATTTTAAAGCAACTTTGCTTATATTTTTGTGTCTATAGTTGCCCACCTATTTTTAAACATGATGACATTTTTACTGTACATAAACTTAACCAGAAATTGCTAACATGTGGGTGATGAAATGCCGGAATTGTTTATGTTTATCACTTTCATAACTACAGTATACTGTAAATAAGATGTTAAGAAATCTATACTTACACATTTGTTTTGATATAGTCATTGTTTACAATACTACAGAATTGTGTCATCTTGAAATTCTTAAAATTACCAAATGTCTTTTATTCTAAGTGTACTTCAAATAAATGAGAAGTAAAAGCCTAAACTGTTGCTAAATACAGTGTAAATGAATTGTTATTTCTTTCTTTTTTACGAATTGATGAAGCCAGATAGAATTCTTATATAATATATAGATAATAGCTTATATTCATTTGGTGAAGAATTGTTTAGTGTTTGGTGTAGATGGAATTTTACAATGTTAAATAAAATAAAATTTAAAATAAATTCTGGTCTTGGTTATGTGGCAACCAAGAATGAAATGTATTGTTTGTTCCACTGTTATGATGGAACGGTTCTTGTAAATTATAGGTCAATTTCCTTCACTTTAAAATAAACAAAAGCATTTACAGTAAACAATGCAAAATTACACTAGTATGTCATATGGTAAATCCTTGCCGAGCCAATGTGCTCATATAGGCTGGAGTTTATCTCCATTTTTGAGTAGCGTAAAGCAGATGAGAGTGTGATGCTTCCCCTGGGTGGGGTGCTGGTCCATTGCAGGTTACTCCTAGCAATTTCCTGGTATCCAGCTGAGTAGATTGAAGCAGTGTAGGTGCAGTGCCTTGCTCAAGGACACACAGCAAAGTGTTGAAACCTCAGCCTCGAGGTTGGGAAACCACACTATTTCCACTAGCTAAACCGCCTCCAATATATGTCATATGCCATTTCTTATTTCAATTTGATTCATTTAGGATATGATTTATATTATTTATTATTGTTTTGATTATTAAAAAGAAAGTGTTAATATTGATAAACAGTATTGCATGCCAACTTATTTTCTATATTTTTTGTATAGCTGCAAATGAAATATTGATGAATGCTGAAAGACTTACTGAGAAAGAGCAATTTGGGACATTAACACGGAGGAGTTCTGGAAGTAGCATGAATATGAATGGTAACATAGGGGACGAAGAAGAAACAGAAAAAGAGGATGCTGTTGTGAGGAGAAACCGTCGCAGAGGTGTAGTTACCAGGCCAGTTTCTGATCTTGGACCTATGAACTTTGACTTTAATTTTAATGGAGATACAACACCACCAAGGAACAGAAAGGTATGGTGTTTAATTTGGGTACACACTGCACGGACAATTTTTTCGGCCGATGCGAGTCCATAAAGAACACAGCTGATGATGTGCAAGCAGTGGATATTTGTTAATGACAATCCGATTAGTCGGCCACCGACAATTAACAGATGGCATTGAGTCATTTTTTATGTACAACAGTAGAGTGGAATATTTAGATTTTCAGAATATATTGGCCATTTATAACACTTGCAATAAAAATATTTAATTGAATTAAAAAACCATCAACTACATTTGAACAATTTAAAGAAACAAACATGTAAAATATCAATAGTTATACAGTACATTCACCTAGTATCACAAAAAAAGAATACACAATATATAACCCGACCAATTATTTGTTTACTGTAATCCTTAAAATTACCTATTGTTGCTATAAATTGTGTTTACAGTAAACGGCAAAAAAATACTACTTACTATAAACCTTAAGTCCTGTTTACACTATAAAATATTATGTGATTACCCATATTTGGGTGTATTAATAATAATAATATTTATTTGGCAAAAAGCATATACTGTAGGAGAAAAACATCATGCATTGCCCGGATAGGGAATGGGCGAAAGCCCGAACAATATTTGCTCCCTATCCTTCATATAAAATGAAATACACAAAAACAATCAGAACTAATCAGAAACATAAAATGAAATAAAATGCTTAATTAAATTATTCTTAAAACAGGAAACATTAACAGAGTTTTGAAGTAGAGGAGGTAGTTCTTCCCAGAGCCTGGGAAAGGACACGAAAGCAGAATTAAGAAAAATATTGCTTTTGGCTTTCCAGTGAATAAGCCTACCCTCACAACGCTCACTCTTATGAACAAACACGGTTAATGTTGGGGGACACACATTATGAAGAACTTTGAAACCAAGAACAAGCCGGTGATATTTAAAAATATCTTCTATGCTTATATGTTAAGCGTTTTCAGCCTACCTTCATAATGTGTGTCCCAGTCACCATCTTTTTTAAACATAATTATTCTGGTGGCTCTACGTTGGATGCTTTCAATTCTATTAATATTAGTTTTGTCACCTGGTGCCCACATTGCACAACAATAAGTAATAATTGGAAGAATCAATACTTTATATAGATTTAACATTACAGCCCATGACATATTTTTACTACACTTATTAATAAAACCTAGTAATTGTGATGATTTAGAACAAATATAATTTACTTGTGTATAGCATTAAAGTTTATTATTTATAAAAACACCAAGTAATTTAAATTCATTTACTTTTTCTAAGTAAATATTATCTATTTTATAATCCCATTTAATTGGGTTCTTACATTATTATATTATAATTATATTATATTATATTATATTGTATTATGACATCATCAAGCCTTACAGGCACATCACACAAATTTGTCACATGAAATTTGATAGTGTGGACAGCGCATTAGTGAAAAATGGTAAATATTTACATTGTTTTGATTCGTTTTGAATTTTAGGCCTCAATTCCAACCGTACTGCATAAGGTTGATAGTCCACGGACGCTCATCAAGAGGTCACAGAGCATACCCAGTGACTTGCACAAGGAAAAATTATGCAATGTTTCAAACCAGCTGAAATCTAACGGTAAGATTCTTTCTTTCTCCTTCATTTTCGGTTTGTTCCATTGGGAAGAATTTTGCTTGCATGTGACATAAAAATACTATTATGGAATCTTTTTTTTAAATGGGGAAAAGTGTCATCCTGAACAATGAAAGGTAAAGAAACATGCTGCAGGACTTTGAGGTGTAGATTTAGAGCAAGAAATTAGAAGTGTAAAGAATGCTTTTTGAATATGACTGATCAGAGAAGAAAGGTCATGTGCTGAAAGGAAATGTGATATTTAAGGGAATATTAATAGAGTAGAAAATAACTGTATTTAGAAGAAGGAAGATGTTTATGGATGTGTTTATAGAAGATATAAAGATATTGAGGGAAACAAAAAGATCAGTAGAGTTTCTTAAAACACATAATCATAAATGTACAGTAAATAGATGAGAGAAAAATTAAAAAGAGAAAAAGAGAGAAACAGGGGTGCATGGTTTAGTACTTCAAACAAGCTAATTTGCAATTTAAATTCCATGTACCAGTGTCTATAGTCAAGTATTTCTAAACAAAAATCTTAAGCAAACACCTCACAGACCCCCTCCCACTACTCTGTGCTTTGCATGTCACATGGCCACCAGATTTTTCTCTGGAGTGAGAGTGAAATGACATCTTGTAAATGTTTATTTTCACAGGTACCACTGACAGACATCCTGATGTAATACCACGCCATTCCCAAAGCACAGATACTTTAGCAGAGGATATGTGTATAACAATGAATGTAAGTGAGAACTAACTTAGGGTAGTATGTATAAGTATTTAATAGAAAATATATTGTTATTGTTGTTGCTATTAGTAATATTTTCATAATAATTTTAATGTTAATTTAATTATTGTTATTTTTATTAAAATTATAATCCATTCACATATCATTAACAGCTACTACAATTTAGTTAATGACAATGGCCATTTTTCAGTACTAGTACAGTAATATGTTTTATTACTAATATTATTCGGTTTTATACTTTGCAGGCGGCTGATGATGATGTTTTAGTGTATGGTGAAGCATTGTGGGATCATGTTACAATGGATGAAGAAGAATTAGCATTCAAAGCTGGGGACGTGATCGGCGTGACTGACATGCAAGACAAGGAGTGGTGGTGGGGTCAAGTGGATGACCAGGAGGGCTGGTTCCCATCTGCCTTTGTCAGAGTATGTCATTATTAAGCTCTGCCCATACTATCACATTTTCTTTGACAAAACACTGCTGTATGCCCATATATAGTCATGATGTGCCTATATATGGTGATGATGTGATGTCATCATGACCATATTTAGGCATATCACATGTTTTTGTCAAATAAAATTTGATAGTCTGTATTAGACTTTAGATGTTGGTGGTGATGATAATATTGATAGTTAAATTTCACCTGCTCAATGATAATATTAATGATGACGATGGCAGCGGCAGCAACAATGATAATATTCATTTCTTATAGCTTTCATAATAAAAGCAATTAAAATAATAACAATAATAATGATGATGAAGATTACAATGATACAAAGTTGACGATACCATTGAAACTAATGATGATAATAATTAGCCAAGACTTTTTTATACTTCAGAGAAGTCAGCAAGTATGTATAAAATGGAGTATGATACACAATTTTGCAGAAAGTTTAAATAAGAAATAATATAAAATGAGCAAAAAAAGTGCTCAACTCAGGAAAATAAGCACAAAAGTGCAAAATTATGTCCAAAACATGGACATTGAGCCCAAATGTGAAAAAAAATGTCCAGAAAATTCTTGCCTAAAAGAAACCACTAGATTCCACATTAGAAAAAAAAAATCTCGCATCCAACCAGGTACCCACTGAATATTCCTGAATGGAATAAAATGAAAATTGATAAGTTCTTTACCTAAGAAAGCAAGTAGTGACCAACCTCAGACTTGCATCAATTCGAATGAAAGCCACATGTTTCTAATAATTACAAATAATGTTTTTTGTTCAGATCCGTGTAAATCAAAATGAAACTGTGGAAGAACATTTTGAAAAGATGAGCTCGGGACAGATAACTGCCGATCAGACTGTCCGGCGCACAAGTATGAGCTTCCTCAGTAAACGACAAGTGCGGACAAACGTTGTCATGGAGATTTTAAACACGGAAAAAGACTACAACAAACATTTGAAAGATTTGTGTGAGGTAAGATAATCTAGATGAGAAAATTGCAAAGTTCACATTTTATTCAAGTACAAGGTTGTATATCTATCATGTGTTTTCAGTATTTTTTTTCTGCTATTATGGGCATTCATTATTTAGTGTTGTAGGTTTTATGAAAACAAAACGTATGATAATAATAATAAAAACAACAATCATAATATTACAAAACATATAACTATAAAATATCTACCTGTTCATATCTGTGAGTCGCCATCTCTTTCCATCTTCAAAGATAGACTTAAGGCCCAACTCTTCAATGCTCTATAACATCTTTTGCTGATTGTGTTTTCTTGTTCTTTTTTTTTCTTTTGCTCTTTTCCTCTTGGTTTGTTTTTTTTCAAAGCTCTATAAATGCCTGCCAATAACCAATAAATTAGCATCCTTTAGAGCTCTGTCTACACTATTAAATTTTATTTGAAAAAGTTGTGTGATTTGCTCATATGTCAGCATGATGATGTCATATTTATTTTATTTATAAACAAACCAATAGCGAAAAACAGTCGCCACTTACAAGATTGTAGAAAAACATGAAACATTACAGACAGGGTTACAAGATAAAAGGAAATTAAAAAAACATTGTACTATACTTTGCCAGAAGAGAATACAAGTACGAAAATAAATAATATAACAAAGGTAAAATATTTGAAAAAAATTACTCAGAAATGTAAATGGAGGCATGCCTCTTAAAAACTGCCAATGATTGCTAAAAATATCCACTTCTGGACAAGCACTAACAAGATCATTATAATTGAAGATATACGATTTTTTTCAAATATTAACTTTGGAAAAGGAACATGGAAAACACTAATATCACAAAGTCTACGATTAGGAACTTTAAGTCTAAAGAAAGAAATTAAATTACAGTTGAAATAATTATTAATACATTTAAAAAGGAATATTATTGATAATGTGGACAGGACATTAATTGTCATACTGCTTAGGCATAATGTCTATCCCTTATAGACATAATAGTTATCCCTGGAATAAACAAGGTCTAAACTTAAAGTCTTTCCTAATATAGTATTATATAGTATAATCACGGAGGTATGTGTAACTTACAGTTAAATTGTTGTTATTGTAGTATCAATTTGCGACTGTCTGTCTGACTTTACGTTTATTATTCAGATATTAATTTGTTCAACTCAGTTAAAATTTATTCCAATTCCACAGAAAAAAACTAAATTGCATAGCATACACAATAATTAGTAGGTAAAAACAAATGCATAGGCAAAACAAAATGTGATGAAGAAGGTGGAATGAAAAAGGCAACCAAAACAAAGCTTCATGAAGCCCTAATGATGATTATAAAGTGAAATAGATTTTGGAGGTATAAGAATTCAAGTATATAGCTGGGATATTGAACCCTTGCCAAAGAAATTTACAGTAGAATAAAGGAATACTAATAATTTTAATTATTTAACTTTTTTGTATTCATAATTTTTTCCATTATTAATGTAAATTGTAAATGTTCTATAATTTTTTAATAATTTATATCTTTTATGTATTGTTCATCATTGTTTACGTGATGCTATTATTTGAATAAATGAAATTACACAAACTCTCATTTGCAATTTTGAAAGAAATATTATTTTCTTTTATTTTTGTTTGGTCGTTTCATTTTCAGAAGGATGGATTTAGCATCTATGCAGCTTATTGCAGTAACCACAGCCGTGCCATTACAGAACTACGCCAGCTGTTGCGAAGACAACGATATAAACATTTCTTTGAGGTATGATACCACAATTTACTTCAGACAATTTTTTCAAACATCAAACTCAGAGGAAAGATAATGAATATAATTTCTAATAATTTTTCATTTTATATTGTAAGTTCTTTATTATTCCTATTATTATGTTTTTATATTCTTTGTAGATTATGAATCAAATTTAATATAAAATTACTGATAAAGCGAGAATTTTTGTACCTTGTTTAGCGAAGGCCAAAATATAAAAATAACTTTTGTTGTCTCATTTGGAAAAGTCATCATTTTCCTTACATTTTAAAATATACAAAACAGTAATGAAGTATTGACTGTATGAATAGAAATGTTTTGAGTAGCCCTTTGTAAAGTAATATTTTATTGAAAAATTGAAAATATATAAAACTTTAATTTCCTTAAAGTGAGGTTCTTTTTTTTCTTGTCTATTTACATATTTACTGGTGATATACAGGTATTACAAGACATTTACTGTGATCCCAACCTTTTATATTCTGTTTTACATATAATTGTACTGTATGTATCTTGAAATTTCAGCCTTGTGGTATGTTTTTATTATTATTTTTTTCTTTCCTAGGCATGCCGTTTATTACAAGCCATGATTGAAATTCGTATAGATGGCTTTCTTCTTACTCCCGTCCAACGTATATGCAAATATCCCCTTCAGCTTGCTGAACTCCTTAAATACACGGGCACAGACCATCCCGATTACAATAACGTGAAGCAAGCCCTTGAAACAATGCGGAATGTAGCATTTGCGATCAACGAACAAAAACGGCTCATAGAGAACATTGAGAAAATTGCTCAGTGGCAGAAAAGTATCGAGGGCTGGGAGGTAAGGATTGTTTTTTCATTCATTCATTCATTTCTGGTTTATTCATAAAACATATTGACATAGCAGTATAAAATCACTGAATTGCATCAAGTTGAAGACTGTATCTGAAGCTCTGAGCACACTATAAAATTTTCTTTGACAAAAAACTGTTATATGCCCATAGCCATAATGTCACATGTTAATAGTCTGGACTGGGGCTTAATGAAAGATGTGCATGTAATGTGTATTTATTTGTGATTATTGTACTTACCAAAAAGAACTGCCGTACGGCAAGATTACTTTCAGAAATATATCTAATGATTCGTTCTCTCCCAGTGTATACATACACTTTCCATAATTTTCCTCATTGTTGGTTTCTATGCGTAGCTGCATAGGAAGCATTATGGTTCATGTGTGAAACTGAGTTTGTAAACAAGCAGTCAAAAACTGTTCACACATTGGTTTGAATTTGGTGTTTTGTGTAAGTTTTGAGAATGTTCTTTATATCTTATTGAACTTTACGAAAGGTCAAACTTGTAAAATATACATGTGTGTTCAAGAAGGTATTAATTGGTTTGAAGGCAAGTATGTTATGATGGGGTGGGCTAGTTGGGTCTTGGTGCAGAACATCAGTATTGTTCATTCTAATGATAAGAGACTCTTTTATTCTCTTATACACTACTTGTATAGTTTAGGTTTGTAATATTTGTATTGTTATTTTGGTTTTTTTTTATGGTCAGGGTAAAGATGTTCTTGAAGTAAGCACACAGTCTTTACATTCCGGAGAAGTGTTCAAAGTATCGCATTCAGGTCTCAGAAAAACAGGACGGGTGCTCTTCCTCTTCGACCATCAACTGATTTTATGTAAAAGGGTATGTTGAAAGTTTTGGAAACTTTTTTGTTATATAAATACATCAAAAACAACTATTTTGCATTGTATATTTAATTAATTTTTTCATACTGTAAATGACATGGGGGTATGATGAGTCTTAATTTGATTTGGAGTATGTTTTATACTGAATTGGGTAATATGTAGTCTCAATTAAGTACCAAGATATTTAAAAAAATAATATATAGAGTATAATAAAAAAGTATATAAGTATAAGCACCACAGAAGTGCTCCTTAGCAAAACAAAATTATATTTGGTGTGTCGCTTATTCAACAGTGGCATTTAAAACAGGTTTCATTTGGGTTGTTTTTTTCTTGTTAATTATAGGATATTCTTTGGAGAAGTCAGCTGGTTTACAAAAACAGAATTAACCTTGATTCTTGTACTTTTCTGGATGTTGTTGACACCAAAGGTAACATTAATAATAAATTATAATAATAATCTATTTACTTACGATAGTAACACTAACACCATAATTTATGTTGAAAACCAAGACTAACAACACTTTAAAATAATATTTTGTTGCTCACATCACAAACTGGTTAGTTTGTGAGAACAAAAAAGCATGTTAAATTACATGCTGGTGTCATTACAGACTGTCTAGTAAAGAATACAAATTTGCTTTATTCTTTCAACAGCGGGTGACCCGCCACTTACAGAATGGAAACAAAAAAACTGATACAAATAAACAGATACAAATATTAACAAAGTCACAGTAAAGATAACAAAACCTACTCTAGTTATAAGTAAAATACATTTGATCTTTTTATATATCTATGGAATTATCCTCTTTGCTAAGATTGTTTAATAATCTAGGTAATCTATTGATTAAACCATTTTTAGTAACATTGACTCTGGAAAAAGAAATTATGAAAAATTCAGTAATGGTATTACGGCACCTACAGTGTTTTACAGAAATACCAAATAAAGATGTTAAGTAATTACCATAGATACCATTAACACATTTAAATAAATGTTAAATCCAAAACACCGACTTTTAAGTGAAGGAAGATTAATAGAACTTTTTGGAACATTACATACCCTTGAAGCAAATTTAACGAAGCGGCGTTTTATTTATTTTGACGCACTTTTTTGTTTTCGCGAATTTACACAATTTACTTTAATTGTGTTAGTGAGTGACGATTTTATTCATTGTTACTAAACTGATACTTCATTCCATGGAAAGGGATGTGGTATTAGAGACTATTCAATATGATTTCTAAGCACTTTACATTAATTTTGTTCATTTATTATTATATGAATTATCATTTTTCAGTAAAAAAAAAAAAAAATGAGTGTCATACCCCAGGGCGCATTGATCCGCAACAGATTGAAAGGCGAATTCACTCCTGCTCTATCCTCAAAACATCCACCACCATGAATTCAGAAAAGGTTATTTTTCACCTTCATATTCTAACAATTCCTTAATCTACTTGACAGATATTCGCAATGCATGGAAAACCACAGACCACGAGTCTGGTAAAACGTATGTGTTCTGTACCAAGTCTCCTGAGGAGAAACAGAAATGGTTGAAGTCATTCCATCGAGAACGTGTACTTGTACATGAGGAGGAAGAGCGAGGTAAGCACAAGCAAAGTGGCAATACCAAAGCTTTCAACCGGTTTGTGAAACAAAACTGTAGCATGCAAGTTGGAAAGATGAATTTTGCTAATTTATAATTCTGAGACATGAAAAGCATATTGGATGGTTAATGAGATACAGATTTTTGAATATTTAAAAACTGAGGGAAAAGGTGGTTATGCATGCCCCTCTCCCCCCCCCCCCACAGTTTTTAAATATTTAAAAAATCAGTTGTACAACATGTCAAAATTGTTTTTCCTCCACAGTCTGCCTTTTAAGATTGTCATTATTTATTATTGTTACATTTGTTTAATGTTATTCTTTACTCAGGTGTTTTAGTGTCATCTAGTGCAAGGGAGGCAGCCATGAAAAATGCTGCACTAACTGAAAAACCTATCAAACCATCAGACACATGTAAGTTCCCACGACCACATCGCAGTTATTCTCATTAATATTCATTTTAATGATCTTTTTGTGAATTTCAGTTAAAACTGGTAAAATATAACTGGGGTAGCCAGCTTCTTTCCTTCCTACCAACAAAGACATTGTAAAATATTAACAGAAGCTTGCATAACCTTTCATAAAAATACAGTCTAGTTCAAATTGAGTGGGCTACCGTAACAAATAATATTAAAAAACAAGTGTGCAAATTTACAATCTATGAAATCTTTAAAGTTGAAGCTGGAAGCATCAATTATTCAACAAAATAAATTTAATAATGAAAGAGGTTATATGACAGGAAAATGAACATTAAGTATAACATCTTATTTTACAGTATTAAAACGCAAGGTTCCACTAATGCCATATGAATACCAACACGAAATCATCAAACCAAATGTTAAACGCATGGTGCTACCGCGAGGAATTTCATCATCAGATGGCAGTGAAGTCGACACTTCTAAACGACGTTTACTCAACTGGTTCTTCAAAGGAAAGAGGTGATGGGAAAAAGTCAGTAGAGAGAAATAGTCTCTAGAAAACATAATACTGGATGCCACAGTCAGGGTCTTTGAGCTAAAAACATCTTGTGCGGACACTCTAATTGACCAAACACGTTGAAAAATTAGCAGCAATAACAAGAGTTATCTCTTCCAGATATATTTGAAATAATGAGTAGTGCCGGGAAGAAGTGGAGATAAAGAGTGCAATTCATTGATCATGTGACTGTTTATGTGACTGTTTGGAAGTACTGAATTCTGCAGTTAACTCTTAATGCAGTGTGTGTGTATATGGTATTATAGAAACACAACCAGTATCTTGCCTTGAACCACTTGGAAGAGTACAATCTCTATTTAATACAAATATAACAGGTGTAAGAGATGGCAGTTGCTTAAACAGGTAGCTACAGCGTGATTTATCAGATGGCTTTGGTATATTTCACCCAGTACCGGCAGCTATGGCATATTTTTTCCAAGCATGTATACAGGTGTTTATGAGGTGTTTAATACATGTTTACACAGGTGGATATAACTTGTTTACCAGGTGTTTATACAGGTGGGTATGATATGTCTTGTCAGATGTTGGTATAGGTGGCTATGGCATAAGCATTCATTACAGGTGTAATGTTTACAAGGGGTTTACACAGACAAATATAACTTAACAGGTGTCCATACAGGTGGTTATGATATGTTATGCAAACATATCACTGTGTTTGACTATTCGTTCATACAGGTGACTATGACATGATCAAAGTGGTGCAAGGTGATGATTAGCTTTGTGCTATGTGAATACATTGGTATGTCTCAGTATCTCAAACCTTTGATCACAATTATATTGACATTTGAATACCCAGTGGGAAGTACTTTTGATACTGTATGTTATTATAGCACTTTTATATAGATTATACCATGTTGGTATATCAAAACTATAGAGTATTATTTTAATATTTATTGTGGGTGAAATTCCATATGACTTTTATTATTATGCTGCCATGGTTCTGCTGATGTTAAATTAAATTGTGTTTTAAATTAGAAAATATACCAATTGAAAATGATTTTAAGTGTGCATCCATGCAATAGTGGTGCCAGCGGGAGTCAGGTAGGGCATCCCCCCTACATCCCCTTGAACTCCCCCCCCCCTCTTGTCAGACAAGCTGTTCGCCTCACCATGATGAGGTCGTTGGACCAAAAATAATAATTAACCTTTCCAAATAACATTATATTGAGTGCCAATCTCTAGGTGCTCTAAAAGCATAATCTGGGCCTTACTAAGGCATAATAACACTCTCAATGAACCGTACACCAGGGATTATATTCCAAGACCCTGGAAGATGCTCCAGTCGGCCCCTTGGCAAATTTCTGGAGCTACCACTCCATCGCATTTGGCCCTTTCGTAAACCGTGCCAACCCAGAGCCGCCGTGCCCAAAATGATGTAGTTTCACGCGTAGAAACTACATAATTTTGGGCACGGCGGCTCAGGGTTGGCACGCTGGGTTTACGAAAGGGCCACATGCCACTGGATCCATGCACTACTATATCTTATTTAAAAGAATGTGATAAGTGGATATAGATTCCTGCAGTCCATGGTGCTCCACTCTATGTGATCATCTTGTTTTGCAGCTAGTTAAGTGGTTCCTTGTATTTCTCTCCTTAATTAAATTAATGCCACTGGATGATTTTTATTTATTTTTTATAAATAAAATTTTTTATTCCCTTCAAAATTATAATTAAGTAGCATGACAACAACTCCCTGAAATATAATACAAAAAAAAAACATTAAAGGATTGGATTTTATTTTTGTACAGTATAATGTTTTTATTAATTTTAAATACCGATTGATTTAAAAATTGTTATTAAAAAATATTTTTCAGGATTTATAAACATTCCCGGCTGGGGATGATACCTGTCTCTTATACACATCTAGATGTGTATAAGAGACAGGCATATTACATGGCAATTCATTATTATTTAATAAGTATTTTAGTGAGATGGAATGGTTTAAAATTGTACCATTCTTTTAAGAATTAAAATCATGAATATTCAGCAGGTTCTGAAATGTAATTTGCATAAATGAATATGTTAATTTTGTGTCAAATGATTTGTGTACTGTATATAGTTATGTACAGATGTCAATTGTAAGAAAGTTTATTTTTAAAAATGACAATATAAAGATTTTCATACAGAAGCAAGTTTCAATATTTTGTATTCAGAGATTCATTTCTGTTGTTTTATTTTGGAAAGAGTGGCATGATACAACACAGGTCATATAAACAAACACAAATGTATTATTGTTAGTATTGATATTTAATCACAAGGAATTGTACTAGGCAAATGTTTAGTGCTTTACAGTATTACTGTGTTCATAACAGTGTGCAACCTTCTCCCGTCAGTGGGGAGTATCAGTCATGCTGCTAATTTTGCACTACCCTGGATACAGAATCAGACATACAAACAGTGACGGTACCAGCAAGATGTTTCCCCCCCCCCACACCTATCAGTCATAATACACAGACGCCCCCACACTGTTGGCTAAATGGTTAAATGGCCAATCCAACCAGTTATTGTGATTATAATAATGTAATGTATTTCGATTTGTATAGTGCTTTATACCAGAGTCTCACAGCGCTGTGGGCTAGCTCGTACAGTAACTTTCCTCTTCCCTAAGAGTCTCTTCATGTCTAAGCTACCCTGTAAACTGGTACCTGCTACTCTCGTCTGTCCACAACAGAGGTTGTATAGACCAGTACACCGGTATAATTACAATAAGAATGGTTCACAATCTGTCCTTATTTTCCACAATGCATGAGCCAACTGAATTTCACTGTTACAATACAGTAACAATATTGAATGATTGTAGTTCTTATTATTGTGGTCCAAAAGAACAATCTTTACCATCATAAACAGTAAAATCTCTTGCCCTGGAAACCACCCATGGTGTCAGTCCAAGACCATGATTGGATTGGATCAGATTAGGTAATATTTGGTTTGGAGTCCCAGTTAGACTTGTTAGGCCACCCTTCCCGTCAGCGAATTTCTGGAGCTGCCACTGTTGTGCAAACCTTTCCGGTCACTGATCCCATTGGCATATACTGTATATTCAACATAGAACACTCAAATCTAGATACCCTGTTATTGTCTTGTTTGAGGAGAGGCACATATAGGTTAACTGGATTACTTAAACACAGGCAATCTTACAGTGAGGCAGAATCATAACCACTATGCCTACTACTATATCATTATTGCTATATCTTTAATGGGTAACCTCACAGAAAACATTTTTTTTCCTTCAGAGACTAGCACAAAATGTCCAATATAGTACATCATAAAACAAATTTAAAAAGTAAGGTGTCATCACAAAATGAGTCATTGTACCAAACTTGCAAAAATGATTTCTTGTTATATTTATATAGATGACATAAGCTTTATTTTTGTCTTTGAATCAAGTTCCTAGATTGTGTATAACTGGAGTAAGATCATTTTAAATTCTGAAACAAACTTTCGAGTACATCGCCTTATAAATACAAAACTGATAAATTTCTTGTTAGTTTTCCTATCAATTCTATAAAATAGAATTACAAAATGTGCATCAAAAGCAATTTTAATCAATGTAAATCAGTTCAGATTGATTCAAATCATAAACATAAACATTCTTTATAACCATTTTCTTGAATATATCAAATTGACCCGGAGTACAACAACCCATTTTGTCATGATGCACTACCTTACCAAAAGAGTGTTTTAAAAAAAAATATGTAATACGAATATATAATATTTAAATCAATTGGAAATATATAAATCTATATTATAACAATATAATGGTGATATTTTGCATTATTAATATTACTTCTGCAGAAACATTCAAAATTCAGATAAACTAAAATAACATAATAAATCCAAAGATAAAAACTAGATAGAAATATAGAGTTAAAAAAAAAATGTAATATGAATATATAATATTTAAATCATTTGGAAATATATAAATCTATATTATAACAATATAATGGTGATATTTTGCATTATTACTTCAGCAGAAACATTCAAAATTTATTTGCTAAATACTACTGGAAAATTACAATGTTGTACAGTACACTGGTGTTAAAACATTTTGGAACACAGACCAATTCCACATCAGTGAGATGTAAAGAACAAACTTCAATTAATTATATTCTATCCAATATTGCATAGAAGACAGATCTGTAGCCACTGGTCAGTTATTATTACTGTATGAATTATTTGCACAAATCATATTAACATTTTGCAAAAACAATAACAGACACCAGGTTACAATCCCATACTTTTTTCCAAAGAGTGTACTATGTACACTTAACATACACATGGGCCAATACAGGACTAATGGCTTAAATGCCGCAACCGAAAGAGAGTGTGCTATTAACTTGCATTCGCACTAATTATTTTAACATTTTGCAAGAACAATAACAAATAGACGACAATAATTAGGCCAAAAAAAATTATTGTGTTAGCCACGCCCGACCGACCCAAAATGTATGAAATTGAGGTTCGGCATTATATTTTATTTATTTTTAGACTACAACAAAAAACATTTTTTTTTAATGAGCTAAAAAGGCTGGAATAAGCCTATCTTGCTGGACGGTAGGCAATGCAACAGTGCTTTGTGATTGTTTTGCTCTTCAATATAGATTTAAAAATGGTCTTTGTTGTATTTTTGTGTCTTACTGACCTACCCATTTTTTGGATTTTCCCAAAACATCGCCAACACAAGAATTTTGTGTTGGTTGGCCTTATTATTGTGCATAGACAATATTTTAACAACAGCCCCATATTAAGACGGTAGTGAAAATGTGTTTTCTTTTGGGTTTTTTTGTACAGCTGTAAGTAATTTTTTTAATTATTGTAATGCTCTATAAAATTATATATTGAGGTTTTGGGCTTGGATTGGATCGGATTAGATTTATTTGGTGTAAACAACAAGGATAACCTACAGAAGTCCAAAGTAGACTCAATTTCAATGGGGTGCTTCTGGTGGTAATTGTTCAGTACACCAGGATACAACCCCATACTCTTTTACTCTTGTACTGCGTAACTTAACGTTCACATGGGCCATATTGCATACATGACTAATGGTTTAAATGTCTCATCCGAAAGATGGTGGGTATGAACTTACATTTCAGCCCTCCAGTTGAAACACATGGAGAGAAGCGATGGGAATTGAACTGGGGTCCAAGAGAGCTCCATGGTGCAGCGCACATACACAGTGGCTACCACAGCCGAGTGGCTAGTTGCTCTCTAAATTTCAGTTTAAAAAAAACACTGAAATGTGTAAGATTTTAAACCTAGTACCTCAGACTTAACTCGAGATAACAATTTTCACACATACAAAATGATGCTATATGAAAAATATGAAGATATTCGTTCTCTCCAGGGCCATATCCAAGAATTGCAATAGGGGTGCTGGGTTGCAGAGGTTGAGGAAAAATGGAACAAATGGCATATACTAGAATCCTAGAAGGGCACGAGGAAAGAGCTGGTTAGGTCCCAGCTTTGATGTTTTCACTGTGGCAACAACTGTACAATGCCAAAAAACTGGCAAAACGACACATTGCTGGTTAAAATGTGAAGATTTAAGATTCCCTTCTAATCTTTCAGATATCATCATCATCAATATGTCGGGCCATGCTGGCCAATGGCCTCAGATTTTATTTTGAGTATTAATGCTTGACTGTCTTAATGTGAAGGGAATTGCATTTGCACCCATTTTATCAAACTGGTAGCCACCAGCCAATTTTGATATAACTTAACTAAGTAGAAATAAAAATGAGATTACAGTACATGCAATACAACTTAAACTAATTGATAAACTATATGTGTTTATTGTATAAAATAATAATATTTCTTAATAATTATTGGTAGATCAAACAGGAAGACTTTAAGGTTTAGCTGAGGTTATCTACACATTTTATAAATGCTTATGGATAATATGTAGTATTAATAATGATTATTATAGCAACATCTTAACACTTATTGATTTAGTGAACAGTTTAATTACAATCTTACATTTGTATAGTTGAGCAGGAAAATTTACCACATCAATAGAACTATAGGTAACATATTTAACAGGTAGTCCAGGAGGCCTAGATAGCATGCAGCAGGAAACCACCATTAAAGATTATATTTAATACTGTATGCAAAGGATTTCACCCATGGCCAAGTAGGCCTGCATAAGATTGAGGCAAACATCAACAGGTGATACCAAATATTAAATAAGCAAAAAATTAAACTCAAGTATGCCTGCATAAGATTGAGACAAACATCAAGTGATACCAAATATTAAATACAGTAAACAAAAGATTTAACCCAAGTAGGCCTGCTTACATTGAGACAGACATCAACAAGTGATACCAAATATTAAATGCTGTAAGCAAAAGAATTCACCCAAGCCAAGTAGGCTTGCACAAGATTTCGGACAAACATCAACAATTGATACAGAATATTAAATACTTTAAGCAAAAGATTTAACCCAAGTAGGTCTGCATAAGATTCAGAAAAACACCTACCAATGACACCAATTATTTCTATAGAAAATACTTTACCCAAGTTCAAAAATGAAGTTACTCTACAACACAACAAATACGTGTGCAAGTTTTAACTGGTTTGGTGTAAAATCTTAAGATCAATTTTGTTACAATAAAATTTATATAAGTTGTTTCTTTTGGATATAGTGCATTGTATCCATGGAAAAAGGTGCAATACTAAATACTTAGAGTTTTACATTACATTACAATAAAATTTCTATGATCAAAGTTTATAGATTATTAGAAACCCAAAAAAACTAATAATGGGTATTAAACAAATGAAATATATTGAAGAAATTAAATGCAGATAGTTTATGGAGGGAAAAACAATTCAAAATTATGTGTTTGAGATCAAATATAAATTGGAATGCAATCAATGAACATTACTTTAACAATTATGTTTAACAAAGATTTAAAGAATCCATGAAAATTGAGGGTATATAGAAATAAAAAATTTATAAGATAGTATTCATACAGTATCATAAATACCTTTAGATAATATAAGAATATTAAGCACGCATGTAAAATCCACTGTAACCATCAGTTGTTACAGATTGAGTAGCAGCTTTGACAGGCGGTCCCATTATTTGAAGGGGGTGTCCATTCATCAAAGTAGATGTGTTTATCAAGGCATGAATTAAAATGAACCATCAGATTACTCTGAAAATAATTTAATTTACCCGGTTCACTCATCCGTGATGAATGACACAACCTCAACATGAGCACACTGGAACTGACCACCAGATGCTAGAGGTGGGTTGCTAAAGGTGTCACAATAGGAAGTCCAACCATTATCAAGGTCATTCTTGAGATGAAGTCCATCACCATCCCTAGAAGACAATTGCAACAAAAGCAGTTATATGGCTAGTTCCCATCAAACTTACATCCAGCTTAAGATTACTCAAACTAGAATAGACTATGAATGGTGTATTGGTGATCTTCTCTATCTCTAAATATGTGGCCAAGACAAGCCAAACCAGTCACTCGTCACAAAAATCGATTTGAGTTTATTAATACAGGTTTTACCCTTTCCAGTCGTATGGTGTCGGGACGACGCCCTTTTTTACCATACTTTATAGGGAGGGGTGTCGTACGTACGCCCTGTATAGCTTTCATGATAATTTTTTTATAGCTATGCTGCCCTCTATAGGTTTGTTTGATAGTGATGTAGGAATATTTCTGTAGAGGGCCTCCTGTATTAAGACCAAATAAAATGCCTGCGCCCAGTAAAAACCTGACATTTAGTGTAGATGATGTAATTTCTCAGGTTTGGTACAGCCTCAGGCAATGGTAATGGGGTAGACTGGAAAGGGTTAAAAAATAAAATGATAGCTATAAAATGGTAAAAAAATCATTCAAATCTGACATTTCCTTATGAAGTTACTAGCATTTTTAAAATAAACAACTGTTTAAAGAACAATTATATGAGAAATCTGCCTTTATGATTTCGTGCATTTCTCATGTAGATGAAATCCTTAAAAAGTGTTGTTTTAACCTTGAAAATGGGGAAAATAACAGTGTGTGTGCGCTGAACTGTGGACATCTCTTGGTCCCTGGTTCCATTCCCATCGTTGCTCTCCTTGTGTTTCAGCTGGAGGGCTGAAATACAAGTTATGATAGCACACCGTCTTTCGTAACGGGACACCACGATGGAGCTTTGGGCGATCTGACGTCGTAGCAAGCCAAGCACATGTTGTTTGCACACAACCCCACAAAGAAAATTAACCAATTAGCGGCCACAGTTTTAGAGGCGCTGCCTTGCCTGTTTACTGACCAGCAAGAAGCGGCATCGTTGCTTTGAAGAATGCGTTGTGTTTAGAAAGTATATCACACCGAAAACGCACATAAAAAAAATATAAAAGCATCAGTTGTATTTGTAATTAAATTTGCTGTTCAGATTTTCAAGCCCTGTATATTCTAAATAAAAGTCGATTCTAAAAACGTAAAATTGGAAAATCTGTTTTCAAGGATTTTTCAAGTACGAACGTTAATTTTCAAGAACTTTCAAGGGCCCTTGAAAATGATTCTCAAATTCAGGGAATTTCAAGTACTTTCTAAGGACCGTACGAACCATGTCAATCAGTAAACCACCATTACACAGCCTCATATCAAAGGAACTCACCCTCCTCCAATGACCAGTAAATTGCCGGCAGCACGAATAAACATCTGGTTAGAGGCATCTAGGGCTTCATCATGATCTAGACCAACCCACCCATACTTTTCTTGCTCTGGCACTAGAGAGAAAAGGAAACATTCTCCAGTTCCAAAAAATGCAAGTTTCCTTTCCTTGTTGTTTCTTTCTTCAAGGTTAGTGGATAGGTATGCACCGAACACCTGCATCGGCAAAATAAATTTAATTGTTATTAATAATCATAATAAGAATGAAGATAATAATAATAATAAATAATAACACTTGATGATGATGTGAATAATTTTGCCATTACACAATGAAGTGATATAAAAAATATTTGTATTCCTATCTGCTTTCATATGATGAGGAATGAAGATGATAATGATATTAAATGATAGTAATACAGGAACTAACTTACTATTATTTTATTGTCATCATCATATATTTAAAATAGACCTGATCACAAAATAAACAGTTTTAAACATTAATCTTATAGCAAAGGTTTAAACAGTATTACGCTCTAACCATAATGTGTCAGCCTTACCAACATACGAACCTAACCCTGTCCTCACCTCTCTCTTTATTGTCTTCACTAGTAATAGCAAAGGTTCCTTGTCCTCGCATTGATTAAACAGTGACATTAAACTGTAGCCATGTTCACTTGTACTAAAAACAAGCTTTGGCGTCAATAGAGCAATGCGATTCGGTAACCACCGCCACAAAACTTGCAGCTATATACGTAAAAAATAGAATAAGAAGGTCATCAACAACGGCGGGACCCTGATGGCAAAAGCTAAATGTAAAAACAACTAATGAGTTAGAACAAGCAGATTTTAAGAAATTATTATGTTATATATCTGTCTCTTATACACATCTATTTCGTGCATTTCTCATGTAGATGAAATCCTTAAAAAGTGTTGTTTTAACCTTGAAAATGGGGAAAATAACAGTGTGTGTGCGCTGAACTGTGGACATCTCTTGGTCAAAGATATTTAATGAGTTAACATCCAACTGTGTATTGTGTCACATAGCCAAACAGCTGCGTTGAAGCGTATAAAAGCCTGTTGTTGCTAACAAAAAATTTGTTAAAATAACAGACGCCTACACGCGAATGCAGTTGAGTCAAACCAGACGCGTTTGTACAACAACGACCACCTCAAAATTGTTCGAAAATATTTAAAAAGATATCAGTGTTACTGTTTTTATTAACAGAGTTTGTTTAATTAATATTCAATATCATAATTTGCAAAATTTCTTTGTTAATCATTCGGTAGGCCTAATAAATTATTAATATTTACATAACCAGGAGTAGGCATACACCTATAGAGAACCTCCAGAAAACACATTCTTTGTACCACGGATCTTAATTCTTATCTGTGATTGTATCACCAAAATCAAATACAGTTATGTATTTACTTTCATCCAAATGCATCATCTTTTTATTTCACATTTTATTTTATTTATTTTGACTCCAAATTAAGTACATAGGCATATATACAATTAAAACATTCTCAGAGGCGTAGCTAGAGGTTTTGGTGTCCGGGGGCAAGAGTAGTACCTCTATTGCTTCTCTCCACCCTGAAGTATAAATGGGAACCTGGTGGGATTGCCTGCTCTTGCACTGACTGCTGCAGCAACTTGAGCATGTGGGCCACATGACCTGGGAATGAATGCTTTGTATCTCAAAAGACAGTGTGCTATATAACTTCTTTTTAACAAAAACAGAGGGAATCTCTTATGCATTAACAATTAATTTAAAAAAGGAAAACAACATCAAAACATAAACCTACTTGAGTTTGATTAATAATTGCAGAGTGAAGTTCAGTGACTGTAGTAATGTTGCGGCTAAGATTTTGATGATGATGTTTGTCAGCCATGGTGTTGCGAACTTTACCCTGGTTCTTAGTTTGAAATGATCTTATTGTGGCCCGTGAAAATCCTCGGAATTGGAATGCAATCTGTGGGGAAGACAAGTAATGTTAACAGAAATGTTTAAAATATTAATTTTTTTATTATTAGGCGAGAACTTTTTTATACCTTGTTTAGTGGCCCACCAAAAATGATGACTTTGAATAAAAATAAAATTTTATTTTTGGCTAGTTAGCGCACCAACCATCACAAAAAATTGCCTATTTCTATTCCTAATAGACCGAATTAGTCGCCAAACCAAGGCCATTATAGTGGGTATAACATCAAAACAAACAGCTAGGTGGCAGGTTTTTCACACAATAATAAGCCTCTGCTCAAGTAAATTTTGACAGTTTTTACACTCCTCAAACTTATTTATTTGTACATTTTATCGTAAAATAACTTATCAAAAAGCTTGGTAAGCATTTCTGTATAAAAATCACAGTATTGACCCGCTAGATTTGAAATGGAGTGAAAGAAACAAATGGAAAACTTGAACATTTTTGCATAGCCTCCTCTCGTGAACACAGGCCTAGCCCTAGACTACACAGTCATACAAATAACGTTCTTCTGACTCATTGGCCATCGTAAAAGAAACATCTAATTCTACAATTCAGCAATTTAGGTTTGTCCAACAAAATGGCTTGGTGACAGTATTTAAGCTGAATATGTACCTCTAATCGACAGCGATCACCTTATTCAGTACTGGATGTGGCAAGTCCCGTGAGCGACGGGCCTACAGCATTTAGATCAAATCAACCTTAATCCCAGGAATCTATGAATCCTTTAAAATGTATATATTGAATATAAAAAGTATTTTTTCCGCTAACTTCTTTACATTTTAGAAAATTTAATATATACCACTTTCGACTACGCTCGATGCATTAGCATGGGACTTTATGATGTAAGCAGCAGTAATTTTAATACCAAATAGGCCAAATTTTGATGACGTCATCTTTGATGACTAATTAATAATAATAATAATAATAGTGTAGTTTTATATAGCGCACATATCCATCTAATGTAAGATGCTCAGGGCACTTGAAATGTGGACTAGGAACTCGACCAATGACTTTCTTCACCCATAAGGGTCCCTTCGTGTCTGTGCTACCCGGTAACCCGGTACCAGCAACTCTCGTCGTCCACCACAGGGGCTGTCTGTTCCAGTACACCGGGGTAACCCCCTACTCGTCTCGAAGGATGTACAGGGTTCTTTATATTGCACACGAGCCATTGTATGCACTGGGCCTGCGGTTTATAGTCCTTATCCGAGAAGACTTGTTCTACCACCAGAACCATAGGCGAGCGTGCCGTTCGAACCAGCGCCGATATTATGGCTATAGCTTGCGGCGTCCCTGCTAACCGCTCGGCCATTCGACTCACCAAATTCTATCTACTATATAAATTTAAAGCATCTAACCATCCCATTACTACAGTGTTAACATTCACCAATAAGATTTTATTTTTATTTTTTCCCCCGTCTGGATGTTTTTGGCAAAACTAAATAAGAAAACAAAATTTCATTTTTATTTTTTTTCCTGCCCTGTTCTGACGATCTTTAAAAAAATATCTTCACGAAAAAAGGTATAAAGCCTCACCTTATAAACAAATAACATATCAATAAGAAAGTGCTAGTTATAGACATTTTACTTTACTTTTTGTACTACAATCAAAAATTTTAAAATTCATCAGGTGGTTCTCTGACAATATCCCTTAAAATCAAAATGAATGCTACATAGAAGTGGTTTGGCACAGCAGGAACAGTTTGCTTGCCCAAACTTGAGGTCTGGGTTTCAATCCCTCGCTGTGCATTTTGTTTGTGTCATAGATCAAGGCACTTTATCTGTATTGCTTCTTTCCATCGAGGAGTGTAAGTGGGTACCTGGTAGAGTTTACACTCCAAATACGCTGATTAGCTTCTGCAAACGTTATGTACTTTAATACTCACACGGGAAGCTGAGTGTGTTTGCCAGGTGTTTAATCCAATGACCAGGGTGAAGCGCATAGGTCTCATCATAATGGGTACTCACTGGTAGGCGATGTGACGCCATCTGTTAATTGTCAGCGAGTCTGAACATTATTGATATAAACCAACATATGAAGAGAGACAATTATCCAAAAAAAGTTGTTTTTACCTTCAGTAGTTTATTAGGAGATTCTGGAATGTTCTTTGCATATTCTTTAATGAAAGACAAAAGATTGTCATCTCTCTTTGTACCTTAAAGAAGAAAAGGTTTCATTAGTTGCCTGACAGCAGAGAAATTATGCTAATAATGTTCTCATTGGCATTGGAGAGTCACTAGAAAGTGTTTTAGTTCACTTTTTGGCAATCCTGTCCGGCCAATTTAGTTATTTTTTCCTCTCTTTGTTATTCTGATTTTGACAGTTTTATTGTTCTTTGGACAAAATAAATGAAATGAAACAGGTAAACACAAACTAAGTGTATTCATAATTAAGCCTGCTGCACACACTTTTTGTATTTTACCATATACCAGAATAAAATAAAATAAAAAAACAAATAATTGAAAACAAATAATTCCCCCCAAAAAACCAACAATCCACCCTACAATAATGCACAAACACGTATAAGATCTTTTACTGTACCTTTACTCTTCTTGTAGGAATCTGCTATAGCCAGACCTACTCTGTAAAGAACTTTGAGCCCTTCCACAACAAAACAATCAATAATACGAACCTGAATAGAGGAGTAAGAAAAGGAATAAAATACAGATAAGATAAACAATTTTATAAAAATCGCTAGTAGCAATGCATTTAATATCGCACATTAAAAATTATTATCATAATCATTATCATTCTTCTTCCCAAAATATTAATGTTATATTTTTTTTTATATTTTTTATCATCAACACGTTAATACCACAATCCTCACTTTCATTTTATGTCACACATTATTATAATTACCACCGCCAAAGGAGGTTACAGTATGTATCAACCAATGTTTGTCTGTTAGCAAGATTACAAAATTTTAGTGGAATGGTACAAAATAAGAGAGAGATGATTAAATTTTTGGAAGAAAGGGTCGAAGGAGGTCAAGGTCATAGAAATTTGATTTTATAAGCTTGAGCATTGAGGCTTTTAGCAAAATGCACTCATATCCTTTTGTACTCAGGCACAGGGCGTAGGTATGCACTATGGATTTACCACTCTAATTTTTATTATAATCATTATTACTGCTCTTTGAAATTATAACAAATACCTTTTTTCATCATTACACAGTTAAAACCAGGCTCTGGAGGGGAAAAATTGTTGATATGTTGTACAACTAATTTTTCTAAAATGCAAAGAGTGTTTGACGAAAAACTTGGAAACAGTCAATGAATACAGTTTTTTCTATGTCTAAAAATAAGGGGGAGGGGGAAGGGGGAGTAACCACCTTTCTCCCCCACTTCTTAAAGATTCAAAAATCTGTATCTCATTAACACTTTTTTGTGTCTTAGAAGAATCAACTGTAAAATATCAATTTCTTTTTCTTCTGGAGCTTGGCTTTAGTTATCAAAATCCCTACTTTTATCATCACTATTGATTACATTACAATTGGTATCCTAAGTATCAATATCATTATTGCTATTATCATCTGAGTTGGAAGTTATCATTGTCATCATCACCATCACTGTCAACACTTATATATAATTAACCCTTACGCTGCCATCTTTGCATTAATGCGAACACCTCACAGTTGGTGTGCATGCCAGTTTCGCATAAATGCGAACAGGCTCACCGTCAGCCAATGCCACCTTCGCATAAATGCGAATTGGTGAAGGTCTTCCAAAAAACGACTATAGAGCAGCTGTGTTAACACTAACCCAAATAGTTTTTACTGGATATGAAAGCTAATGAATTTCTGCACATTTTGATGCGAAACTTGCTGAGTGTTGTTTTGTTAGAAGTTTGAATTTTTGCAAGTTGAAAATATGATGTTTTGAAATGCTGAGAAAGTATATTCTGTAGTTGTTACAGCTGTGCTGGAAAAACTGAAATAGAAAACGATGTTCTGGGCCTAGGCCAAGCTAGGCCTGGACTGTGATATTAGTAAATACACATAGGCCTAGGATTTGTTATTTTGATTTTCATCAGCAAGTAATTTGACTTTGAAATCACATACTCTGCTAATAGGCCTAGGCCCAATATACTATTTGTGATTAGACCTATTGACAAAATATTCCTATCACTTTTTTCACTAAATGATAAAATGCAGAAATAAAAGCATATATGTACAAAACAACTAATGTTGAGTAATTGTTGTTTATAGATTTATATTTTCATAATCTCAATAGTTTATGAATTATTGAGCAAATAATATACACTATCAAAAATAAACATTATGGTGACTGATAATTAGCTGGCACAGGGGATTAGAGGTAATGTTATCAGCTGGGGCTCTGGTTGACTGAATAAGAAAAGAGCTAGCAGCGTAAGGGTTAAATGATAAATTAAAAAAATGTCTAATTAACACTTAATCTTAGATTAACCAGTGCAATGGTTAATCTAAGAATAACCACTGCACTGGTTAATCTTAGATTTGATCTTAAATTGGCTGAGATGTCGAGAAAAAAAAATTTCGCACCCAGGGTACTACGGTATACAGGTATAAAAAGACTTAGTACCAGGTGTGTGAATGGTGGGTACTACGGTATACAGGTATAAAAAGACTTAGTACCAGGTGTGTGAATGGTGGGTACTACGGTATACAGGTATAAAAAGACTTAGTACCAGGTGTGTGAATGGTGGGTACTACGGTATACAGGTATAAAAAGACTTAGTACCAGGTGTGTGAAT